AATAATAATAATATTAATAACGACACCAACAATAAGGAATGTAAATCATCAACAAAGAAGGAACCTCGGAAGCCTTATGCAGAATTCTTAACAAGGCAGGAATAAAAGTGGCTGGCATTCAAACCCACAAACTCAATTAGAAACAAGCTTTGTCGGTTAAAGGATCCTGTAGAGCCATCAAAACAAAACAATTTAGTTTATTTAATACCCTGCAATGATTGTGAGGTCAAATACATAGGTCAAACCAGTAGAACAGGGGCAGTCAGACTAGCCGAACATGAAAACCTAGCTAAATCTAGACTGGTTGACCCGAATAAGAGAAGAAATCTAGAGAGTAGTTCAGCTATAGCACTACATGCAGCTACACACAACCATACAATAGGATGGATGGGATAGGATGATAGTTTTAAAATCTAATGTCACAGGGTATAGAGAGAGATTGATAACAGAAGCTTTGTTTATCGAATCAACTGCAAATACATGTAGTAGGAATGATTCAACACCTGTCCCAGATATATGGAAAATTCTACTGCTCATACAACAAATAGGAGAAGACAGAAAAAACTATAAATATCAAATCTCGAAGTCGTGTGACAAAAATTGGTATGATTATGAACAATAAATTGTGTTCGAAACGTCATCCAGTATACAATACTGTTTCACTGTGTGATACATTTAATAATCAAACTAATATGGAATTACTTACTACCACAGTGCCCAAGTTTTACACATATAATAGACAGCTTTTGGTAGAACTCATCTTTCGTTTCATCCGAACTGCAGTCAGTGGGGGCGTAGGCGGAGATTACGAAAAGGCATCGGCGAGTAGTGCAGTCCTTTCTCCTTTTTAGTGTTCCGTTCAGACGGACAGCACACATTTGGCTATCTACCGGGATCCAGTTAAGTAATTTCTTGTCTGCCCTAGTACTCAAAGCTATCCCTACACTGCTGTCCCAAACAAACACTGTTCAAACGCCTCGACCGCTTCTCGTCTCCCCGTCTCAAACAACTTCGCAGGCAAAAAGAAATGTTATATAAATGCAAAGACAAGTTAGGTCTTAAAAAGATTAATGCTCAAATCAAATCTGAAATCAAAAATCTTAATGCTATCTATAACCAAACACTTTTATCATGCAAATCTCCTAACAGCATGTGGAAACTTTTCAATGAAATTACTGGCAAAAGTAAGCGATGTAATGTTTTTCCCTCTTGTGATGTTAATGCTCTTAATCTGTCTTTTTTACGCTCTCCTTCTACTATAACCACTTCTAACGTTACCAATCTTGTAGCTGATAACTTCCAGGACTTCAATACTCTCGATGTTTTGAAATGTCTTAAAACTCTTAAGCCCTCACATAGTCTTGGCCCTGATAGCATACCTGCATATGTTCTAAAACAATGTGCAGATGCTTTATGTTCTCCTCTAACTAATATACTAAATGCTTCTTTCCGTGAAAACGTTGTACCTGTTCCATGGAAAGACATTAAAATAGTCCCTGTCCCTAAACCTGGCAATAGCAAGAACGTAAAGTTCAGACCCATCGCCATCACTTCCCCGTTTCTAAAGCTCATGGAAAAACTAGTACTTCTTAAACTTGAACCCTCCCTTAAAAGCTTCGAAGACCCCAAACAATTTGCCTACAGACAGGGTAGGAGTACTTTAGACGCTGCAGCCGTCTTACACAACAGTATTGTCTCATCATTAGACAAAGGTGCCAAATATGTCCGCTGCACGTTTCTTGACTTTACTTCTGCTTTCGACTCTGTACCTAGAAGTCTCTTGCTAAATAAGCTCTCCATGACACAAACCGAGTCCTGGGTCACTAACTGGTTGCATTCCTACTTTTCAAACAGAATGCAGTACACCGTATACAAAGGCCAATCCTCCTCTGCTGTGCTCACAGAAGCTGGTGTCCCCCAAGGTGCTGTACTCTCCCCACTTCTCTTTTCTTTCTTTCTACATGACCTACCGTCTTCAAATGACATTAACTTTGTCAAATATGCTGATGACCTAACTGTATCTTTACCTGTCAAATGTCAAAGTGACTGCTCTAAACTAAATGGCTTCTTATCGGAAATTAGCCAATGGTCCAAGGAAAACGGTCTAACCTTAAACCCCTCCAAATGCCAAACAGTTAATTTCACCCTTAGGCATAAATCTGACCTAAACAAACTGGTTAGCACTCACGAGGTGTGCAACATAGATGGCAGTGAAATAGAAACCAAGTCGGAAATTAAATACCTAGGCGTCACTCTATCTTCTGATCTTTCCTGGTCGTCTCATATCTTGACGATTTCCAAGAAAATATACCGTCTTACCTTCTACATCAAGAAGTTAAGACATTCTGGTGTAACCCAACCCTTACTCCTACAATTTGTTAACTCCCGTATTCTGCCTATTATTCTCTATTGTTCCCCCTTAGTCTTTCCTGGGCTATTGAAGAAAGACTATACCTTATTACGTAGGATGTTAAAGGTTGTCAGCAGGGTAAGCAGCTTGCCACTTAGCCAGCTAGTTAATATTCTGGTGGACAGGCATATGGACTCATGTGAAAAATGGGCGAAATCCATTTTATCTGACTCACAACACCCTCTACATTCACAACTCTCCCCATGTATCTCTTCAGGGAAAACAAGAAGCCTATATAGGAAACTATATGCCCGCACTAGTAAGTACAAAAACTCATCCATACCCTACTTAGCTCGTGTTCTGTGCGATAAAGAATGCATCAGGCATGAAACCTTTAACTTATTAAATAGTCAGTAGAACCAATGGATCTTGTCTTTCCAACTCACATCATTTATAGGTACAACGTTTTCTCACTCTTCATTCTGTATTTATTTTTGTTATGTGCTGTTTTGTTTCTCTCTTCCTTGCAAACTCTACTTAAAACATTCTTGTTCGTTCTTTCACACTCTGTACATCTCGAACATTTTGCTATCGCTTACGCCAGTAAATATGCTAGTAGTATCTACTTTTCTAACACCTTCAAACACTTTAATTTTGGCTTTGCTACCGACATACTAATATGTTGTTGAGATAACGTTAAACTATGTAGAACTTTATTTATTGTTAATGTAAAAAACTGGATGCAATATTGTAGTAAAATGCTGAGAATTCCATTCTGTATCACAAGTACTGATTTGGAATAAAGCTTATCTTATGTTATGTTACACCAGTTAATCCTCGTGAACTAGCTGTGGCATCTCCTGACACCCTTAAATTGAATTTTGCAGATTCACCTTGTTGACCGAGTGAGGTCAAGTGAATAACCACACTTGGGTCTTGTATGCGCGTTTCTGAAACACAACATACAACAATGGCTCGGGATGCCAGAGTCTTAGCTAGTAATGCTTGTTGTCCTATTCGGTAAAGTGTCCTAACAATAAATGCTCCTATATGAAATTGGTGGCGTGGTTTTAGGAGACTATCGGTGGTGGTTTTTTGGCTTCCGTCGTTTTTAGTGGACGCAGAGTGAAGGGGGAGTGAGGAGCCATCAAGTAGAGGAGTTGCATCAGTGGAAGGAAGGCAAGATATTAGAGATGAAGATGAAGACAAAGGTGAGTGAGGATTAGAGAGGTTTTGTGGGCATTTCGGATTGTGAGGGCGATTGTTACTTCCCGGCTGCCCACACCGTGGAAGTTGGTTGCGTGACCGCAGAGCCCAGAGGATAACTGCTTGAGGCCGGTCACACGCGGCCTGTTTTTGTTTGTTCTTTATTGTTGGGTGTCACAGTAGCATATTCATCACTCCTGCCCTGTGACACGGCAGCAGGAAGCGCGGTCGCTGTTAATCCGGGCCCCGACCGATCCGGCATGATATTTTGTGAATTTGTTTGAATCATGGTATTGGATGGCGTAGCTGCTTTTTGTTTAACCGCTATCAAAACAACCTGCCTGGCATAGTAGGACCTCAAGAGACATAAGTCTCAGCCAGTATAGCTTGATTAGGTCATTGTGGTGTTCAAGCCCGACCACCACGTCAAGGTAGCAGCTTTCGATCGGGAAGCAGCTGTCCACTATTCGCTGGTGGTTTTCACTGATCTGTTCAACTAATGTTGGCTCGTGATCGAATCTAACATTCCAATTCTGAACTGATGTTTTCATTGAAAATGAAAGAAACATACACTGTTAATAGTTAGAAGAATATTTCCCATAAGGTCCCAACTATGCAGAACAATAATAAGCAAAAATGTGAGGAAGAAAGAACGGTAACATGGAACAAACAATAGAGTTTTTGACGAATATTGAAGGTCACAAAGAGTGAATGCATTTACACCATTAAGGACGATTATGATCTATGTCACTAAATATCTCCAGGCATTGGTTCTTATCATCCCGACGACCCCAACCATGAAATCTACACCTTCCTGTGTCTGGCTCAAAACAACTGTTATGGATTTAATTGAATGATTCCAAGTTTTGGTTTAACCACCACTAGCTCTTCTCCAACCCGATCCTATCTCAGCTGACACTGCCTATCGAGGAAGGTGATGGCTAGACATCTCAATCGACGAAACTTCACAATCCCATCGATTAATTTTCCCTACCTACCTAACACTCAACATCTAATCTCAATATTAATGGCCCTATTTTACTACCTGGCACAGAATATAACGTAGTGAACACTTATCATCTTATTCTCTGGGCGAATTCCTGATTTCGTAAAGCACTCGGTTGTGTTACAGATGCAGTTGTCCTAAATGATTTCAAAATCTGTTTTTTGCTTGTGGCGAACGAATAACACCTATATACGTTTTGAATATGTAGTGGTCTAAGAAGCCAAGGTTTTTGTGTAATAGAAGCATGGAGTCATAATTAGTTTAAATGACTATTCATCACCAATATTAGTTTAAATTATACTTTGCTTATAATCCTTATTTCTTATATAACCGAGTGTGTTTCATGGAATGTATATGCCAATAGTTCTTTAATTATTGTATGTAATTTGAATATATGCATTTTTCTGAAGAAAAAAAACATATCTGTTTATCACCTAGGTCGGGGCTATAACCTTCTAACACCGGAGAAGTTGGCAGTTGCAAAATGGCTCGAAAGCGTACCCGAAGTATGTCCAGACGCTGCTGACAGTACCTTGGATACTCCATATGTGAAAAAAGCGCCACTGGCGGAAACAGAAATACTTGGATCGAATGCTGCATCATCTAACCAGCGTTCAAATATCATTCGAGATAACCATCAATTTCAGGCCAATAATAGGCATAAATTGGAGAATACTGAGAAACGTACAAGTTCCAGTGCCTTAATACCAGTTGCTGAAAATTTTGATCAGAATAACTTCTCTCAGTCTTTTACCACTCATTCGTTGAGTCCATATCAACATCAAAATAACTATGTAAATCAGTATCATCGAATTGCATCTGTTTCACCTCTGACTAATTGTGTAAAATCTAATTCTAATTCTCAGTTCTCCTTTAATCATAAAACATTTGGAATCAACAGTGACACTATGCACAGATTTAACAATTCTCCAAGAGATATTTATACCAGCAAAACAAATACAGTTGACGTAACTGGCTTTTCTCAACCGCATAGACCTGAACCTGAATTAGAATTTCTTCACACTATTAATCATTCTGAAAATTTGTCAACAAAGTTCTCAAAATTTATCAAATCCCCTTTATTCAAAAAGTGTGAGCTAATTTTTTTTTCCCCTGTTAAATGTCTCCTTTTAAATTTTAGTCAATACATATAAGTTGATACATAAAAAAAGAGCAGACTAGGGAAATCTTCTGCAATAATGTCACTGTGAATAAATATATCTGGGAAGCATCGTTTCAGCTACCGGGTGGAACGAATGAAGATGCCAAAGTCACAATAGGAAAGGCAGGCTTCACCTTTATCAACCTGACACCCGTTTGGAAATCTTTTGCACTGTACTCAGCATATGGAACAAGATTCGGATTTCCAACACCAATGTCAAGTCGTTCCTTCTATACGGGTCAGAAACTTGGACAGTGTATCATGAAAAGGATTTTCAACAGCTTTTTACCGACTTTCATCAACAGCTACCGAATTCGCTGGCTCCATACTGAAGATTTAACCACCAGAAAGAATTAGTAACAAGAAACTGTGGGAACAAACCAAACAAGAGCCGATTGCTCAACAAATATGTGGGAGAAAGTGAAGATGGACTGGACATACATTGAGGAAGCCGTCGAATGACAACGTGGCGCTAAGCCATAACTCGAGTGGAATCCAAATGGGAAGTGAAGAGTGGATCGTCCTAGGGTGACCTGGAGGAGATGAGAGAGTTTGGCCAATTGTGGAGCCAGCTGAAGAGGAGGGCAGAAAACAGAACAAAGTGGAGATGTGCTGTTGTAGCCCTATGTTCCACTCAGAACCCAAGGGAATAATAATATGAGTAGTATTCATAACATTTATTATGATATTAACCAATATTTTACGTTCAGTTAGAGAAATAACAACTATGACTTATTTAAACACTTTGTAAAGGATTTAATGACAAATTCTTATAGTTCAAATTAGGCGGAAAAGTGCGTAATTATATTTCACTAGACTTTTTAGTTTTACTATTGGCTTTTATGCATACAAAAGTTTTAGTCAAAACTAATAAACGCTTTATCTCACTGAATGAACTTTTTTTATTGAATGAACAATAATCAGCTTAGTTAATAGTTCTTAAGTGCATAAGTTTGTAACTATGCTGCAATGTGAAAGGGGTGGGGGCGGGGGGGGTGTAATTCATTGTTAAAAGTTCACTTTTCTGCAGGTATTTTTCACTTGAAATAAAATCACATCCATAAAGCGTAACGCTTAATTCTGTTGTGTTATTTGTTTGTTTTTTCATTCCTTTATGTTGCGAGGCTGTAAACTTGAATTTTTAATTTTCAATAGCTGTGATGTTTTCTTTTACAGAGTGATGAGGTTGCTAGTCACACGCATGACCTTCTCTCTTTACCAAGCTTACTACCGCTATAACGAGGTTTAAGAGCGTCTTCACTGGGGATCGAACCCTGGGCCATCTGAGTGGTTTGTGAGTACTGCACCACGTAATAAATTCAAATCTGTTCTACTTTGAAAGAGTACATGGATTACTTCACTGATTCTGATGGTTGAGTATGTTAAGTGGGATATGCCTACATATTTTTTTTTCATTTTTATTAATATCTGCTTCTAGTGATATTATTTACCTTAGTTTTCAGATACATTCGTCTATAACAGAAGTGATTATTTATGGGTTTACACGATCTCATTATCACAACTTGAAAGAGCAGACTTGCAACCCGCATAACAAAACCAAGCAGTTACTGTACTTGAAATTTATTGTTGTTATCTGCATTCCTCTGTATTCTACACAGAGGTGTCAATGAATAGTTATCGGTATGCAGACAGTAAGAACAAAGCACAGTCTATATATAGGCCAATTTTTGAGATAACTTCAAATAATCAACTTATGATCATTATATTAAAGGTATATCTGACCTGGAAATAAGATGGCTTTACTGTCGGATGAAAATACCATGTATGCATACAGTTGTCCACCTCGCCAGATACTAGCTTGCTAGGCTACTAGCTTACTAGTTTTCTCGCCGGTTCCAAGCCCGGGTAAAGAGGGAGGGTTGAGGCGTGGTGCTAGCAACTCCACCCCTGTAAAACAACCAAATCGCTACAGAAACTTCAACGAATAAATATATTAAAAATTCTAAAAACATAAGCAATAGCCTTACTTTTCGCTGGAATCGGGAAGTGAAATGACGCAGGCTGGTGAAAGCCTTCGGGAAGCCAGTCAGCCGATGTGCCTTCTTTCGATGAAAGCAAAAGTAAGGATGGGTACCTGGAATGTTCGTACAATGTACGAAACTGGAAAGGCTGCCCAGATAGCCGCTGAAATGAGAAGGTACAGAATAGAAGTGTTGGGAATCTGCGAAAGCAGATGGAACGGAACTGGAAGGTGCCAACTACCTACTGGAGAGACAGTAATCTTTTCCGGCCACCCAGAGGACAACCACGAGCACACCGAGGGAGTGGCCATCATGATGTCACCAACAGCAGCCAAAGCTCTCATGCAGTGGGAACCAATCTCCTCCAGGATAATGACAGCCAGGTTCAACTCAAAAGGAAGGAAAGTTACAGTCATTCAATGCTATGCGCCTACAAACGTCTCAGAACAAGAGAAGAAGGAGGCGTTCTACAGACAACTACAAGCAATAATGGACAACGTCCCAAATGGCGATATCAAAATCCTGATGGGCGACATGAATGCGAAGCTGGGAGGAGACAACACAGGAAGAGAACTCACCATGGGTCGTGAGGCCCTCGGCGAAATGAACGACAATGGTGAACTCTTCTCAGACTTCTGCGCCTTCAATGATTTGGTGATTGGTGGTAGTGTGTTCAAACACAAGGATATACACAAGACGACATGGATTTCACCAGATGGAAACACCAAAAACCAAATAGACTTCATCTCAATTTCAAGAAAGTGGAGACGGAGCCTACTGGACACAAGGTCGAGGAGAGGAGCAGATGTGGGTTCAGACCACTATCTAGTACAAGGGACTTTCAAGGTGAAACTAAAAGCCTCGAGGATAGCTGGGGATAGGCCACAATGCAAGTTCAACACTCAATTACTGAAGGACACAACCACAAAAGACACTTTCACTGCAACTGTCAGAGCAAAGCAGGAAACACTACGCGACATCACTGAAGAATCATGCGTGGAAGAACATTGGAAGTCTCTGAAGGCGATTCTCAACGAAACGTGTTCAACGGTTCTAGGAAGAAAGAAGAGACAAGGAACAGCTCTCAACGGACACTTGGAAATTAATAGAAGAGAGGAGAATGGTGAAAGAGAAAATGATTCAATGCAAGGACGGACAGGAGAAGGAGACGCTGAGCTCAACTTACACAGCACTGGACAAAGAAGTGAAGAAGAGTGCTAGGAAGGACAAAAGACAACCTCGCCACTGAAGCTGAGAAGGCAGCAGGCAAAAGGGACATTATATCAGATAACCAAATCTCTATCCGGGAAGAGATCAACACAAGCGAAACCTATAAAAGACAGCCAAGGGAACCCAATTACCAAGGAAGAAAAACAGATTAAACAATGGGCGGATCACTTCAAAGGACTCTTGAACCGACCATCACCTGCAACCCGTCCAGAAATACCAACAACAGCGCGCACACAACTGCAAGTTGACACCAATCCTCCAACGAGAGCTGAAGTCTTGAACGCAATCAAGCTTCTGAAAGCTGGAAAAGCAGCCGGACCAGATGGAATACCCCCTGAAGCACTGAAAGCGGACCCAGAGACTACAGCAGACATGCTGACTCCATTATTGCAAAAGGTCTGGAAGGAGGGAAAGGTGCCTACTGACTGGAGGAAAGGTTACCTCGTGAAACTACCAAAGAAGGGCGACTTAGGACTCTGCAAGAACTGGCGAGGAATCATGCTCCTGTCGACGCCAAGTAAAATCCTGAGTCGCATCATCCTGGAGAGATTAAAGGACGCACTGGAGACAGAACTCCGACCAGAACAAGCTGGATTCAGGAAAGGCAAATCATGTACTGACCAAATTGCAACTCTACGCATCATCATCACAGAACAAAGCATGGAATGGCAATCAAACCTCTACCTCAACTTTATAGACTTTGAGAAGGCCTTCGACAGCGTTGACCGTGAAGTAATTTGGAAATTACTCGAGTACTACGGCGTACCCCAAATATTCATCAACCTTATTCAACAGCTGTACGACAACGGAACATGTCAAGTGATCCACAACGGAAAACTCAGCAAGGCGTTTGGAGTAAACACAGGAGTCAGACAAGGGTGCTTATTATCACCAATGATATTCCTAATTGTGGTGGACTGATGGATTATGCGTCAGACAGTGAGTGGGAAACGAGAAGACAGGAATATCCTGGACCGACGTGAAGAACCTAGAAGACCTGGATTTCGCGTCGATGATTTATGTTTGATGTCACACACAATCGAAGACTTACAAGCGAAAACCGACAAACTGGTCGAAGAAGCAGCAAAGACAGGACTCCAGGTAAACATAGACAAGACGGAGGTTATGAAAATAACCAACCAACAACAGCATCCAACGTCAATCACCATCAACGGGAGGGATTTGAAAGAGGTTACTTCATTCACTTATCTAGGGAGCATTGTCTCAACTACAGGAGGAGCGGACGAGGATGTCAAATCGAGAATCGGGAAGGCGAGAAACACATTCATCAGCCTGAAATCTTCGTCACTCAGCATCACCAACAAAATTCGGATTTTCAATACAAACGTCAAGTCAGTCAGTTCTTCTATACGGATCAGAAACTTGGCGGGCCACAAAGAATATTTCCAAAAGGCTGCAGACCTTTATTAACAACTGTCTTCGCTTTATACTGAAGATCAGATGGCCGGAAAGAATCACCAACAAGGAATTATGGGAACAAACAAAGCAAGAACCAATCGCCCAACAAATATGCAGGAGAAAGTGGAGATGGATCGGACACTCGCTGAGGAGACCGCTGGGTGACATCGCGCGCCAAGCCCTCGAGTGGAACCCGAAAGGGAAGCGGCGTGTGGGACGTCAGTGCAAGGGTGACATGGAGGAGATCGTGTGAAGAGGAGTTGAAAGAATATGGATTAACATGGATGCAGGCGAAAAGTACAGCAGAAGACAGAAGCAAATGGAGACGTGCAGTTGAAGCCCTATGTTCCACTAGGAACCCAAGGGAGCAATAATAATAATACAGTTGCCAGTCATAATCATCTCAGAAAGGCTCAGATCTCTTAAGCATAAACGGAAGGGTTTTGCATTCCTCCCATTATTATATAATTCCCATTGTAACATTAAGAACACAATATTTAACGTAGGACTGTTCAACGATTATACGTATGTGATTGTACAGTTTAATAATAAATTCGCTGCAAACAGTCTCTTCGCTTAATTTTCTATTCCTATGCATTCCCAGTGGAACATAGAGCTTCAAGCTAGAGGCTTTATGTTTCGGTAGTAATGGTGTTTATTTCTTTTTACGGGATGGGTTTGCTAGTTTCATGCCTAACCTACCCTCTTTACCAGTTGTATTACTGGCTTACAGATGTAAAGGACTGCGTCGGTCGGAGGTCGAACCCCGAATCGCCAGCATGGTTGGCGAGCATTCTACAGGCGTGCCACCGACGCCCTCTGTTCGCTGAATGTTGTATTCTTAATAGAAGAAAGCATTCATCTATCGAATAAATATACTTCTGATGATATGTTAGTCACTGTGATATCGTAAAAATGGAGGTGGCTGACTGTTATCATTTTTATGTTCAGAGTATTTCCAGCTAATTGCCACCGAGTATACTATTCACTGAAGTTTGCAAAACGAGAGGAATATTGTTACCATGCAGGAATTTCGTAGTACTGATAATAATGAAATCTAGTGTGGTTTAAAATTATAATATTATTGTAACAAATTATTTAAATGTTTAAAAAGATTTGTAAATAAAACGAATTGCTGAAGAAGCAGCAGTAGGTCCGTATTCATCTCATAAGGTGAATTACAATCTCTGAACTGAGTGAACCAGTGCCATCAATCCATGAAATCCTTGACAGTTAAACTGAGTCAGGTAGGGAGATGCAGACTCCCGGGTTGGGGGCCTCGGGACTCTAGGAATCAATGGCTGGAGACAATAGGTGACATGGCTCAAAATTGTTGTCAGTGGCGCAGATATATTCAGTCTCTGTAATCTTTCATATTCCTTTCTACCACTACCCATTCTGTTTCGCTCTTATACCTGTTAAACTCTATTGATTCTCTTCACTCATCTTCTTGTCTACCTCTGTGTGCTATTTGGAGCATGGCAACTCGAACTGCTGCACTTTGGTGCCAAGTTCAATGTTGAATCCAGACAGACAGACAGAACCAGTGACATATTTCAATGTGCTTCATAGAACGGAAGACTATACGTTCATTGGATTCGTCTCAAGCAGTCTCCCATTGTTTGTTAAAGCGAATATCCATAATCTAGTTGTTTTTTATATTAATGACTCAAATGAAAATTATTATTATCATTATTGTAAAATAACTTGCCCTTCGACTTCTATGCTTACATTTCAGCTCAGTCTCCCAGCATTTTCAAATGGCTTCTGGATCGTTTCCATCAAATCCGACTTTTTACACGTCATAATCATACTTCTGTCAGCAGTGACAAAGTTGTACAATCTTATGGAGATATAAAATTCACAGGACCAACGAACCAGCAGCGTCCCTGTGACAACAAAGTGCCTGTGGACTGCCAAACATACAGCCAAGAAGTATCTCCCAGCAACCTACGTAGATGCTTTAGTTTGTCAGACGGAGGAAAAGCTAGCAAACCTAATCAGACTGTAAAACACTGTAGTCAGGGTATGGAATCACAAAGCTTCACAGGAATTGGGAAGGAATGCGATACCAGGGGTTATGTAAGGCAGTCAAGTTATTCAAGCAAAGACTTACATTGTATCTCTCAAAGAGACTTATGTGGAAGCCCTGACTATTATTCAACTGCAAGTCCACTTTCGATTTCAAGAAACTACTTTTCAAGTCAAAATCATCTAGGCAGTAAGTCAGTGGCACGTCTACTGACTTCATCTCCTGCCTTGGTAAACAACTCGAAAGTTTCTTTACAAGCTAGTGCTACAACTTCTGTGAAAGGCAATGATTTTGCAAAAGAAAGGCAGCAGCCACATTATGTATTTGGTAACATCGCACAGTCATGCTTTTTAATACCTTCAAGCGGTCAACAAAACGACAGTATTCTTACATCTGATTGTTCGCATAAGAGACCACCCAGTTCGTCAACGCTTTGGTGGTACACAGGATCGAACAGACCAACGCCCTTTTCAAAAGTGCCGACATCACTCTTTTTTAATCCTACTGTTAGAGTATCTTCTTACTGAATTTTTGTACAGATTGACTGATTCGTAATTGTATATCTCCACTGATTTGAAAGTTGTACATATACAGCAGTCCTTTGCATTTAACTAGACGTTAATCTTATCTAACAGCCTATTTGTCTTTCCGAGATTGTAGTACTTTCTTAGGAAGTAGTTGCAGTTTTTTCTTCTCATGTGCAAAATTTCTTATCTGTGAACTAGTGGACTTTGTAGAAAAAGCTTTTCTTGCCAATACTTTTCTTTTCCGTCAGCCTTATGATCACAAGTTTTTAACTTTTTAATAAAACTATCAATGATACTTTCTTTACAGCACGAGTTTTGTATCTTAAACCAAGCACTAAGGTAGGGATTGGGTGATAAAGTAATGTCAGTAAGCGCATAGTATATCTGAATGAATTCCCGGTCTGCTCATTATGCTATTTTAACACATCACCTACTAGGCTAAATGAACCCCGACAGTTGCATGACTCGAGAGCGACTCTGTGTTTCAGAACCAGCAGTTAGACAACTAGCCACAGGTGTAAAGGGTGGTCTGAACAATGTATATATTCTGCAGCTGAATTAAACAGGTGCAAACTTAAGTCTCGAAATCGATCAGTCTTAAACAAAGGATAAAGCCTGTAGCAGCACTTTTATTACCCGTTGTAAAGAAGGTAATATTGGGGGTCATGATAAGAATTTAGTCTGGGATGGATACAAACTGGACTGGCCTTCGCATTCATCATGAACTTAAAGTAATCTACATTCCATAGATCACGGATGTGTTCTAAACGGTAAGGAAACTGCCATATATGTCAAATGAACAGATTTTTATTTAAACACAACACGGCACCGAGAAGATGCGGCACAACATAGATTAAAAGTTAAAATATAGGTAGAGAACTGATAAAATACTTCATCTGGAAGGAAAACAGTTATATTTAACAAGCTCAAACAACATTCGTCAATTATCGACAGGAAGGGATGACAATTGCAGCACATTCGCCATTCGTTACGATTCTTGGCCAATTCCGATAACGCCTCGAGCTAACTCTAAGACTCCAACCAGGGAGTCGCACATCTTCAGCTGGCAGTGACACGGTTTCACAGGTGCAGAGTACGACTGCGCACAAAGAAGCATCGTAAACCCGACTGATTTCAGCACAGAACTTGGCACCGATGTGCAGCAGTTTGATTCACCACACTTCACTCAGCACACAAAGCCAGAGAAGATGAAAGTAAAAAAGAAACGCTAAACAGGGACAGTAAACAGATGTATGAGGCAAAAGGAATAGTAATATCGAAGAACAATATAGTTTTATTGGGTATCATAAGTCACAAGGAGTGGATGCATCTGCGCCACTGACAACAATTTCGAACCATATCACGAATCGTTGGTGTTTACCGTCCCGAGGACCTCAACTAGCAAGTCTACATCTTCCTACGTGGCCTAAACTAACTGTTGTGAATTTCATGTTTTGGTTTGACCATTACTGACCCTATGTCAGCTAACATTACCCGCTAAGGAAGGCGATAAATCGCTAGACATGCATAACACATATCTTACCATTTCAGCCGACGTAACTTCACAGCCTAGTCTATTGATTTCCACTTCTTACCTAGCTCTCGACGCCCAACCTCGATATTGCTTACCCTATTATGCCACTTAACACGGGAGATAGAACTCAAGCACCTATGATCAAACACAGCTAACCAGTCTTTTCATATCTTCCACTCTCAATGGCCAGGTCTCCTAGCCATAAAGGAGGACGGAGCGGACTGTTGGGCAGTACACGCGCCCTTCGATCGACAGCCACACGGATATCACGTCTACGCCAGAGATGGCATATGCGAAACGAGCCTTCTGGATCTGTGCTGAGATTTTACCAGCGATCACCCCGTTGGCGTTGATGCAACTTCCCAAATAGGTGAAGTGGTCAACACGCTTCACCAACTGCTTCACTGCTGCCTATCTTTAAGCTAGGAGTGAGTCAATGTAGTCCAGTCGAGTTCTGTAGCATCATCTTACATTTGACAGGAGCGAATCGCATACCAAACATTCGCAGATTGCACCTCAGGGTGTCTGGAAGACTCTGCATTTTGTCAGTGTCACCAGCTAGGCGACAGGATTATATCATCTGCATATTTTAAGTCAACCAGATTATTCCCTGGTGGTAACAGTTCAAGCCCTGAGTTTCCGAAGTGAGTCAGAGTACCTGCCGGTCGACAGAATCGAATGACGCCTTTAGGTCAAGAAATATGACGACTGTTGGACGCCGGTAAGCTTTTATATATTTTTTTTATTTACAGCTTGATTCCACACTGTATTTTTGGTAAAAGTATGGAATTTTCAGCATGGATATCGGTAGCCCAAATTTTGCAGGCCGACCATAGATATCAGGTGTGCGTCGGCGGGGTTTCGAAACCTCGGACCATGTGCATGGTCGGCGAGAGTCCTAACCACTGTGCCACCGACGACACAAGTATGCTTATGTTCCAAAATCTGTCGAAGGGTGAAGATATGATACGACGCTTGACAGCCAGGCCAACGTGGCTCAAGTTGACATATGCCACTCTAGCTTCCATTATACGGCTGAAAATCTCATCCGTCACCCCTCCGCTAGCACTCACACAACTACCCAAATACACAAACTTATCAACAACTTCAAGCGGTTCACCTGCAACAGTGAGTGCAATTACAGGCTTCTGCCAATCTTGTAACAGTACTTTGCACTTAGACGGCACAAAACACACACCATACACAGACACTGATCGCCAACGGATTAAGTGCTATTTAGGCAGCCTGCATGCTATCGCACAGTAAGACCATATCGTCTGCATACTCGAGGTCGAAAAGTCTATCTCCAGGTAGCAGATCTACACGACCTTCACGCGCGTCTTTCAGAGCTGACTCCAGAATGTCATCGATGGCAAAGTTAAAGAGAAGTGGAGAGATCGGGCAACCCTGTCTAACCCCACTGTTGGTTAGGAACAATGATGATAGTGGGTTGTATGCCCTGACTCTACCTGAGGTGTTTTTTCACAGGGCTTTCGGGTAAATAATAATTAATAATACAATAAATTCTTCTAATTGATCAATCGAAGCCAGTAAACTCCGTATTACGTATTCCTAGACTAGATGACCCAAGCAAATGTCAACACTCCCTCGACATGTACGACTTTAGTAGGACGTAGGATATAATTAATACTAGTCTGTTTTATTAGTTGAAAACTAAAATAGTTTTTATTTGTATCAGTGAATTCAAACCATAACAACAATAAAAACAGCATGAGTTACTGGTCTTCTTCTTCAAGGTTTATGTGATTTCCAAATTTACCATACAATTCTTTTCTCAAACTGTCCATATGCACTTTACACTCACTAATTCGTTCTTCCAGGTCTAACATCCGCACTTTAACTTTTTCTTTAGTTGCTGTAAGTTCTTCTCCGATCTCATCACTAGACAAATGGAAAAATGTATCCCCGATAGCATATCTTTTTAATAGTTAAGGTAACTAACTGATCTTATCACACAAAATAATAAACAACGCACAAATAAATAGCTCATACAATCAAGCTATGTTTTGGGGAACTCGATGGATTGTGCTTTGTTCTCATGTGTCTGGCATTGATATCGAAACAAACATTTTACGTAATGAATCAGTTACTCCGGGAAAGTTGACTATCATGTGAATCAGTAACGTTAGAATATATACATATGATAAAGAGATGAAAGGGAGTAAGTGTTTTCATCATAAACAATACTTATTAGAATGAAACGCATCTACATTGGTAGCTAATAATGAAATGGAAATCCAAAAGGGCAAATAAGGAAAATTTTTGGTATCTAGCGCCGATACACTATGGGAAAATTTATTGTGATTATGATCACGATAGGACAAACAATATAACATTTAAATTTTGAGTTTTTAATGTAGAACGTATCACATAAATGAAGAAGTCAAAGTTGCGGCATCAGCACACAAATGCAGATAACACATGCGAAGGTACTTAAATGAAGGTATGTTCCAGAGAAAGAATAATTACAAGGAAAGTCATGAGAACTTACCAAGCGTAGGGTATTGCGAAGAGTGGACGCATCTGCAACACAAGGAACTGCTGAGCCGTTAGTCATATATTGCATCTACTTTCAGTCTGAGAAACCCTCTCAAACTTCTATTATAGTGTTACCTAGGGTATGCAAGCCACTTCACACTAAGATAACGAGTATATGTATGTTACTAACATACGGTTTTGAACACATACATGTAGATGTTTTGCAATGATTTGAAGAGCTGTAAAATAATTTATACAATACCACATTAAACTTGTCCACCAAGATATAAGCCAAGGCCATAGTGTTGTGTTCCGCCAGGCAGCGTAACTACGTGAACTTTCTCACCTTTCAGGACACAACTTTAAATGCTATGACTATATATATATGCCTTCGCTGAAACACTCATTTTCTAATTCCCCAATCCAAGCTACAATCAGAAGTTCTATAAAGGATTTAAGCAACATTTAGTGTTGGTTGATACAAAGTTTGATACCACCTGAGCACACAAATACCCGTGACATTTGTAAAGGAATCCATCTGTTGCCATCCGTGGAATTTCTTAGACATGAAAACTGCTAGTCTATTAGAGGCTCATAAGCTGCTAAATTAACCTTTGAAAATTGTCGTACTGCCCATGGTACATACAAATCTTAACATGGTCTACCATGAAGTTGCAATGCTAGTCTTAAACAACAATCTTTTAAGGGGAAATACAAACCGAAATGATGAACTTGTATGTGTGAGGTTTATTTTCTGGGCGAGTTTTCCTGTCACACAAAAAAAACTAACTTCCTTCAATGCACACTACAAACTGATGATCTAAATCGGAATGGGTATCACTTCGTTTAGTTAAGAAACATGCTAAAAAAGGATACGGATGAGTATTTTCATCCAGGACAATCATCTCGTCTTCTGCATCATTGATATTAGCTAGTTCTTTCTAAAAACAATGACAAGCTACAAATAAGTGCGCAAACCTTGTATTTCTCATATTCTGATAAGAAACCTTTGAATTTCAAATTCCAAGTAGCAAAGCTATTTATCCTTTGTTGATCTGCATGAGTAACTTCGATATCTTCCTGAGAAAATAATTAAGAAATGAAATCCTCGTTACAGCCATGTGGAGTTGAAAATAGATATAGGCAGATTTTGATTGGCTTTTGGTTAGCTGGCTTCCTATTGCTCTAAAATATAAGTTAAAGCGGTAATCTTTTTATTTTGACACGGAAATTTACAGTCAGTATGATTTAGGGCTTACCTTGCCATAATATAATGGCGTGTTAATTTTTTTGGTATGAGTGTAGTGTGATAGTCACACGTTATTTGGATGCATTGATGGTCTTTAAAGTGTATTAAGATGTCTTAGAATGTCTAGTAAGTGAATATAAATCAAAAATAATTTCGATGCATTTATTTTAAGTCCAAAATAGGATGTATGCAATTTTTATTACTAGGCGAATATAATTTAACTACAATTTCTAAAAATTTAATGTGTCTTTAATTAGTACATATAGATAAATGTATGTATTAACTAATCTACTTTTTTAAGTCGTCAATTCAATGACCTGTGGGATTTGTGCATACTAGGTCAGCATAAATCAGGTAAATTTCCCTTCAAACGACTGAGAGCGACAGTTTAAAGCATACCTTGGTTGATTATTTCGTGATGAAAGCAATTTGGAGTCAGTTATAAATTACACCGATCTGTGTCTTATTCATACGTTTTTCAGCTGAGGATTTCCGGTTCATAGCATATCCTGAATAACGGTGATTAATACGATTTATCACTTAGACCGCAGCACCACCAAGCTTGCAACAATTCTAAACTTATTCCCCGATAATGCCTTTTTATGGTAACTGAAGAACATATTTACCCACTATGTTCTGAAATGACATAGGTCGTGCTTAAAAAGGCAGCTGCGTGCTGAGTCAAAACTTTCCGCTTTGGAGTAACGCTAGTCCATGCTTAATATGTCCTGTGAGGGCTGGAACAATGTTGATAAGCAAACCCAGTAGGTTCGATTTAGTGCCACTCATGCTGAAAAATCAGCGCACAGTTTCACTGTCAAACAATGGCAAAACAGTAAGGGAGTTTAATGTTACTATTATTAGCATAGTCTATGTTACTATATTAGCATAGTATACGTTGATTAGCTCAATGATTGCAGGTTTACAATAATCTTTGACTACCAACATAATAACTGTGAACTTCAAGCTAAAAATAAGCTAAATAGTAGCACCCAGTGACAAAAACTGACCTACACACTGCAAAATGAGCAAAACATCCAGAAAAACCTTTAAAATTCAATGGAAAACGAATTCACGAAAACATGTAACAAGCCGGCGCAGGAACTCATTACGATCTAGAAACTGACTGTAGCCTCTTTCGGAGTTTAGTGGGTGAGACGGCCTTGACAGTTAAATACCGCCTCAGCATTGAATCACCAATAATAATGATTTACTTTATTCCAAAAACAGTACTTGTGATACAGAATGGAATTTTCAGCATTAATCACAATATTGCATCTAATTTCCTCAAATTATAAATAAAATTAATCACAGAAAATTTTCCACATTTACAATAGAGGTAGTGTCAAAAACATGCAGCATATAAAATGGAAATAGCAATAATAATGATAACAGCTAGGGTAATAATAATAATAATACAAGTGAAAATTGCCGTTGGCTTGTGTCACACAGTATTGGCAATGTGGTATAGAAATCCTAACATGTTTAAAAATATTGAATATAATGTTCTTTCTACATGATATGGTGAAGGAAAAAAACATAGATTACAGCCGTCATGGAGATAAGTTGGTGTTTGCAATTATGAGAGTAAAACAGAGAATTAACAGGACCATAAATATAATAGAAGTAATAAAAGTAAAACTTGAAGGTATGTAAGGATGGATGGAGGAAATTGTTTATTTACTAGATGAAAGAAGGTTAGTTAATTCTTGCCTGACACTATTTTCATCACATAAAATACGTGCCAAGTATGGTATCATAGAATTCTTATACTTAGACGTGCGAGCATACAGTTTTCTGAAGTTACTCCTTGTTCTACCTGAGGAGATGCAAGGTGAAAGCTGAGGGTAAAGCGGATGCTCCAAGTCAGACAAAATCCCTTTAGCAAATTTATTGCACGAAGTCAAGTGCCTATCGACAACGACGTTAACTATGTGGTCCACTGGGACACCACTCACCCTACTGACAGTCTTCAGTATTCTACGAATTGTGACATAGTCTTTTTAAGCAAACCAGGAAAGAATAAGGGTGAGCAATAAAGAAGAATAGGTAGGATGCAAGAGTTTACGAACTGTAGGATGAGGGGTTGAGTTATACCCGAGTGTCTTAACTTCTTAATGTAAAATGTCAAGCGGAATATTTTACTGGAGATTGCTAAGACATGGGAAGACCAGGAGAGATCAGAAGAGAGAATGAGTCCAAGATACTTAATTTCTGATTTGATTCCTATATCATTGTCGTCAATTTTACAAGTGTCATGAGAATCGATGACTTCTTTTAACTGTCGTTTACATCTTAAGCTGAAATCAACAGTTTGACACTTAGAAGGATTCAGTTTAAGACCGTTAGACTCAGACCATTTGCTGACTTCCGATAGAAAGCTATTTATTTTAGTACAATCTAGCTGGGAGTTAACAGCCATTGAAACCGTTAAATCATCAGCATACTTCACAAAGTTTATTTCATCAGAGTGAGGCAAGTCATGCAAGAAGAAAGAAAAAAGAAAAGGAGAAAGAACAGCACCTTGAGGGACACCAGCTTCAGTAGGCAATGAAGTGGAAGACTTCCCTTTATATACGGTGTACTGCTTTCTATCTGAGAAATAGGAATGTAACCAGTTAACAGCCCAACATTCTGTTTGACTAGCAGCAAGTTTATTTAATAAGATGTCCCTAGGGACCGAGTCGAAAGCAGATGTATAGTCTAGGAAGGCGCAACGAACAAATTTAGCCCCCTTGTCTAGACTGGAAGCAATGTTATGATATAAGACGGCAGCTGCATCTAAAGTGCTTCTACTGTGCTTATAGGCAAATTGTTTAGGGTCATTAAAGGATTTAAGCGAAGGTTCAAGACTAAGTAAAAGTAATTTCTCCATAGTTTTCAAAAAAGGAGACGTAATAGCAATGGGTCTAAATTTGACACATGCTCCAGTAGAAGATTTAGGTATGGGTACAACTTTAATGTCCTTCCAAACGGCAGGCACAATATTATCGGAAAAAGATTTGTTAAATAGATCAGTAAGAGGGTGACACAGAATATCAGAACATTTTTAAAAAATAATACTAGGTACATAATCGGGACCTAAGCTCTGGGAAGGGTTTAGAGACTTGAGGCACTTTTGAACATCATTTGTGTTAAAACCTGGAAAGGGGCTATTATTAACACAAGTGATGCTGGGAAGCATGGCATTTGAGGGAGAGTAAATAAAAGATTTGTTAAGAGTACATACATCAAAAGAATATGGAATATTGTTTATCTGCTTACCACCAGTGATTTCCTTAAATAGTTTCCACATATTAGAAGGATTTTTGCAGGACATGAATTTCTGGTTATATATTACATTCAACCTCTGCATTTCAGACTTAATTAAGAAGTTAGTTCTTTTTACACCAATTTTATCTTTGATTTTATATAGTTTTTCCTTCTCTCTACGAAGCTTTTTAAGTTGAGGCGAGGAGAAACGGTCAAATTTGACGAATAGTGTTTCTTTTGGACAACAGATTTCAAAACAGAATTTCAGATAGGATGTAATATTAGAGATATTGTCATTAAGTGAATCAACATTAAACAAATCCCATCTTGTGTCACTGAGCATGTTTCTAAGATGATGTACGTTCTCATTTGAGTAGCATCTGTGAACAACTTTCTTAGACAAGTTTGAGAGGGCTTTACTGTGTAACTTTCCGTAAATTTTGGGTAAGACTCGTACAATACAATGATCAGAATTGAAGAGCGGGGCTCTTTTACGAGCTTCGTATATTCCAGAATCATTTACAAATACTAAATCAAGTGAAGTATTTTGTCGAGTTGGGAAATTAACAACATTTGCATGGCCCAGCAATGTAATAAAACTGCAGTCGCTGGAGTTGAAGTCGCCAGTCACTATAGATAAGGAGTTACCAAACGAAGCAGCAGCAAAAATAGTGAATTCATCAGCGAAGATAGATAGTTCTGAGGGACTGCAACAAGGTGTGATATAGATATTTGTGACAAAAATGGAGCTGCATTTGGGTAAGTGTTTAGGTCGACATTTTACAGTTATACAGTCAATATTGTCATTTGAGAATTTGAAGCAGACGTTGTTGGCAGTAGACCACTGAGAATTAATAAAAGTGGCAACACCACCACCTCTCTTCTTCTTTGAGCTGCATCGGTCTTGTCTGTAGATTGTGAACCCACTTAAGGAGACTAAATTGTCGTCATATGAATCATGGAGCCAAGTCTCTTGAAGAGTGATTACACCAGTATTACAATATACATTTGAGTATAATAGAGAATGCAAGTAGTTAATCTTGTTCGATAATGACCTGCAATTTGTGCTCATAATCACAGGAACAGTCATCTGATGCATTGGAGTACACTTTAATGATCTCTGCCAACCTCCATGATGCTTTTTCTTAACGTTATTATATACTCGTAAATCAACGGGTTGAAGACATTTTAAATAATCGCGAGAGTAAGTAATGCGACTTGGATACATAATTGAATGATTAAAACAAAATAAATCCGAGGAAATAGATGCAATATGTAGGATGGAAATTTTGGTAGCCCAAGATTTAGGCAGGCCGCCAATGGATATGTATATTGTTTAGGTCCAAAATGCTGTAATTAGGCATGTACAATCTGACTGGCTTCTGTTCCCCTGTCTTCCTATGTTTCATGGATCGATCGATTTCCTCATGGATATTTCAGAAAAATTAACGGTGTAAGCTAAAACGGTCTAAACTAGATATAGGAATCAATCTTTACTTTCAAGGACGCACCAAACCTATGAAAATTTAGGAACAGCAACTTCATATATTATTCAGGAGGCGTATGAATGTGCTGGAGGGCGAAAAAACATTAGTTAGAGGCAGAAATTAGTTTGCGTCTGTGGTACAGTGGTTAGGACTTTCGCCGACCAAGCACATTGTCCGAGGTTCGATCCCCTACCGACACACACCTGATATCTATGGTCGTCCTGCAAAATTTGGGCTACCAATATCCCTTCTGAAAATTCCATACTTGTACCAAAAATACAGTGTGGAATCAAGCTGTAATCTAAAAATGAAAATAAATAAAAAAACTTTCATAACGAGACAGTATGCAGCTTCATTCACAATTTATTAACAGAGATGTTGAGCTTTACTGCAGAATGTGTGTGGCCTTCTTGTTGAATGTCGTGAAACAATTGTTACTGAAAATTCTCTTAATTATATTCAGTGATACTGTCAACCTAAAAAGTATCACCGAATGTGTTCATCCTCACAGCCATCATGTTGCAGCCGTTAGTGGTAGTGTGGTGAGAGCTAACTGCGAACTAGAGAAAGTTGTAAACAACAATTTACTCCAATGTTATATCACGAATCTGGGTAATGAGAAAAACGACAGCAAAGCTAAGCCCTGGGAAAATCACCAACTAATCACAGAGGACTTATTACTCGCAGGTATATGGCTTAATTTTCCGAAAAAGCGTGACAGAGGAATCAAGAATAAACCTCAGCAAGAAAACAATAATGATAACAGCTATATTCCAAACGGTATTTGTGGTGCAGGTATGGAATTTTCAGCGTGCATTAAAATATATTGCATTTAATTACCTCATAAATTTTATGAGACTTTTAAATTCAAAAAAAAATAAATGAAAAAAATAAAAACCAACGCCAAAAAAATAAGAGATTAAAAGAATTTAAAAAAACAGCGCAGAGTTTACATTTCAAACAATGCACCACAGGATATGAAATAAAAGTTGATGTATGATAGAGGATGAGAACAAACAGTGTAATATTAACGAGGAAAAGAAAACAAAAACTAATGGGACTATTTGTTAGATTAAAGACAACTATGATATGCATTGCGATAAATAACGTTGTACACATCTATTTCTGGGACTAATTGTATCAGGCGATTTCATCTGTTCTTCAAACTACTCAGGTAAGTGTTCTATAAGCTTTACCTGAAGAAGTCGGTGTCCATCCTATGTACGTCTGACCACACACAAATGTTAACTGTCACGTCACAATGGGACGTGACATTATCGTTTCGATTTTGTGAGGGTTTAAGAGACAACATAAGTCTCTTTTTCCTTACGAAAATGAGCTAAGCTGCATCTCAATCTCTATTGAGTGTCACTCTGAGACCTTTTTTGTTGTGATCTGGCTTTCATGACCACCGTCGAACTGTGAAGATATGCAAACATTGTTTTGGATGGAAGATGATCCGAAAGGTGGAAGCCTTTAACTGACGCTTCTGTATCGTTTAATAACTTTCAGGGCGTGATTATTATTTGCGACTGATAGATTTTCGTCACGAACCAACATCAGTCAGAGAAATCAGTGAAAAGTAGGGAGCAGTGAAGAGCTGTCTGGTCCTGATCTAGGACTCTTCATCAGTTCGCTCCCATGATGCCACCAGATATCGAACCCAGAACCTTCAGGCTAAGAGACCAAGCTCGTTGACTATTGAGCCGCATCGGATGGATGTTATTGACCCATGAATTCTAACTTTGTCAATTCGTAAAATAACGGTACCCTCACCACTGCCTTCAATGAGCATCCGCCACACCCTGACCTGGTGGACTCCACTGGTCACAAATTTTCATTAAAGAAGCTTCAGGACATTCATTCAGCAGCCATGAATGACCTGATAATCGATATTATTATCTCATAGTATTTTGGTATAGTTTTTGTATTTCTTCTTCAATGGTATCCTCTGTACGTTCAGGTTGAATACATCTGAACATGTATTTAAATAACGTCTTTTTATATCGCAGTTGACAGGAACTATGGTAATCAAGATTCTGTTTCCTGCAGGTGGATTTCCCATAGTTAGATCGTTTTATTGACGCATCCTGTAGGTGAGTAATGGGTACATCTAAAAATGGTAAATAGTCGGTACTTTCTCCCATGTATATTAACGATACGCTATTTTGTACTGTGTTCATTCGGTTAAGAATTTCTCCGGTAACTGACTATTTTTTTTTCACAGATAACTATGAAGTCATACATGTATGTATGTGTTTAACTGTGGATATACTAACAATTAATGCCCTCTCCCAGCAAGCTGTAAAATCAATAAATTAAGAACCATAAAATAACTTGGGTTCTGACTTTGGTGTCATGCTATTTGCCACTGATAAGATTGCTTTTGCAAAGGATAATTTTATTATTAATATTACAAACATATAATTTATTTTATGAATAGACTTTCATTTTGAAGTCATATCAAAAAATCTGATATTTGTAGTAAGGAAAAATTGTTGTTCCGGATTCCTATTCACATCTACACACGAATAACCTTGACACTACAAGAAAAACAAATAAAGTAGACATTGTGAGAGCCATTATTGAGCATAAAAGTTCTAAAAGAACTTTTAGGTAAATATTGTACTCTGTAATCTGATATGTGCTCTCTACATAAGATATATCTGAAGTATTCAGACTACTCAGTTGCTTAGTTTGTAGTTGGTGAATAGAAACTGTGAATTTGAGATCTTTCATTGAATCCACCTGACAAATAGGACGTTTTATTAGACTTTTGTCTGTTCATAGATGTTATTTAGAAAGTGAATGATTTGAACGCATTAAGTGACTGATATAGAGAGTTGTGTGCGGGGTGTATGTCGGGAATTAGCACATGAAAAGCATACTCAGGTGTATGATGGACTTAAAAGTAGCATTCTTTTACTGTAGAGAGGTTTGAAATATTCACGTTACACTACTTTAGTTCATTGAAATTAGTTGAATGTAATTTATTTTTTCATTTACTGATTCCAAATAATTAGTATTATATTTTTCAGGCTTTGACATTTAGCGCTTAGAAAAATTTATTTCAATCAGTCAATCAGTCGGCACACTTCTTAAGGATAACAGCAGGAACACCATCAGGACCAAGGGACTGGGTAGGTTTGAGAGACTGAAGACACTTGAGGACATCATTCGTGTTAAAGCATGAGAAGCAGTCATTATTTACACTATTTGAGTTGTGAATCATAACATTTGCTGGGATACATATAAAGGATTCATTAAGCATGTTAACATCTACAGAAATATCATTCATCATTTGCTTACCACCTGTGATTTGCTTTAATAACTTCCACATATTTGATGATAATAATGTGTATTCTCATATAAACATATAAATTTACATGAAAATGCATGCCATTTTTACCAGCACGATCAAGTATGATATAATATCAAATCCTACATTGTCCACAAGTTAATAATGTTTCAACGGTTAAATATTTGATATATATATATACACTGATTGTCTGAACCAGGCCGTATAGTTATTGAATTATACAGTTGTCCTCCAGGTTGAGCGGGAAAATCGACTTCGTTTCGTTTTCATCCCGTTGTTGTAAGCATACGATAATCGACCAATATCGAGGTAAGTACAACTTCTACA